CGTCACTGTTTGCAACACCCAGGCGTATCGCTCGGTAGATAGTCCAACTGTGCATACTATTTCAAGCATTCTGATCTGGTAAAAAATGACAGTACGATCGTCATTGCTGTCGGTTCGCAGTCATGACCTTCAGTGTCTCTAACCATGCGGTTTCATAGTCTTTTGAACCCCATCCCCGAAGACGAGAGACACCTACTTTCCTTTATCGCTCTGTGCATCTCTTCACGCCTTGTCTCCACGTCATCTGCGGCTTTTTCTAGCCTGCAACAGCCACCGCGAAAAGACAGAGCTCAACGGCGCTCTAGACAGATTTGAGCTTCTTGAAATCACCTTCGAGTACAAATCCACCGAAGTTTGGCAAATTGACCAGCAAAATCCTCTTCTTCATGAGAGCTGTACCGGTGGTAAGTGAACTCGTGAAACCCGATCAACCATTCTAATCCAATCTACATGACCAGGTCCGATGTTCAAATTTTTCGTTCACTGGAACCGGCTCAACTTGCATATCTTCCTTCCATTATTCACTGATCATGCCGCCGAAATGTGAATCATCCGACTATAAAATGCTAACGTCAGTTTTTCTTTTCATTTCCAAATGCACATGCAGAAGGTTTTGGCTTCATTGTTTATAACTTAACTTACTTTACTTTACTCTTGGCGTTCAGATGTTGGTGTAGACATGCTGTTTGGCACCGCAGTCGATGCAAATTCCTCCCCGGACGAATCGAAAAACAATGTTCGTGATTTTCTCTTCGGATCAGACGATAGTGACTCCGAACCCCATGGGCTGGAGCGTGAAGAAGATGGTGGTAAGTTTAGGTTACTGATCCTATTTATGTCATGGATTCAAAACACTATTTTACTCACCCCTGATGTATATGTTGTTAAGGTAGTACTTCTAATCGCTTGTAACGATGATTGAGTTCACTAAAGAAAAGGTATACTAAATAATGGAAATGCGTTCTTCGTACAGTTTATGCCATTTTCAACTGGATCTCCAGTAAATCCGCAATAATCACGCTGCAACCTTCCGTCTTCGGACAGCAGTGTTGTCCACTCAGTGAGCGCATTGTTCTCAGTGCATACATTATTTAAAGCGAGGAATGTGGTTGGGCCGTTAGTGCTTGTTAACGTCATCAAAAATCGAATCTGCGATCGTTGCCTATAAACGACACAAAGCGTAATAGTCCCAAATAGTAGGACGGTTGCTTTGTTTTTATATGTAAAGCTCATCGTTTGTCCTTGTCACCTTTGTTTTCATGCCCCTCGCCCTGCTTGATTTGTGACGTAACTGACGCTTTTCCTTAGCAATTCATTTCGCATCGGCGATGAACCGTTCTTGGCTACCGTGTGAACCTTTGAAACCTTTGAAACTCATAACCACCTCAGAATAAAGTGAACAGGTTGATTTCCACATAATTAGTCGACTGTTTTTTTTCATTTATCGAGGCTGACATAGAACGGGGAGAATGGGTTTGCAGCCCGAAGGTGAACAGTCTTGTTTCTAGGAGTGCTTTGACGTAATGCTCGTTATCGTACCGAATTCGAACAAGCAGGCTTTTATAATTAGGACGACCCCATGCCACCTCGTGCCTTGTTTGTTAGTTGCTCTAGGGTGAAGAAAACCACTGAAAGTAGCACATGACAAAGAGAGGTTTTTCCAAATGGGTGTAACCAGGTTCGGTATGCGTTTTGCACCTTCAAAGTGTAAAATGTTGCTACAAGACTGAGTTGGTCCAGCACCTAGCCTCACCCTAACTGGGGAAGTAATAGAGCAAGTGGATAAGTTTTGCTACTTGGGCAGCTACATCTCACCCCGTGGAGGTATCACGGATGAAGCGTCAGCTCGCGTACAGAAGGCTCGGTTGGCATTTGCCAACTTGAGACATCTGTGGCGCCGTCGTGACATCCGGCTGCCTGTTAAAGGTCGAGTGTTTGCTGCGGCAGTTCGGCCAGTTCTACTGTATGGCGCGAAAACTTGGCCATTAAGAAAACAGGATTTAGATAGACTTTCGGTGTTTGAACACCGCTGTCTACGCAACATTGCACGAACCGGATGGGGCAGCTGGATGTACAATGCTGAGGTTAGACGCAGAGTTTTAGATGAACGCGGTCACCCACTGAAGCCAGTGGTCCACTTCCATAGATTACGTTGGTTGGGATATGTGTTACGCCTGTCACCAAATAGGTTGCCATGGCGAGCGATATTCGCCGAAGCAGTGGGTGGAAGAAAGTCAAGAGTGGTTAAGCTAATACCTGGCATAAGGATATGAAAACTCTGACCAGGAATCTGGGTCACATAGGTCCTGTTAGGCTCCCTGGCTGGGGACCTCGGGATGATTGTGCCCGATTGCTAGAGACAGTGATATGGCTGAGTGTCGTGGCGTTCGTGCATCTTTTGCAGATTCTCTGCAAAATCAGTGCAATGAAATTCTAACTTTTCTCTTCGATCCTACTTTCAATCTTTCTTGTCTTTCTCTCATGTTCATTCAAGTGGGCAGGCAAAACTGACGCACGATAATGCATGGGTAATGGTTGTGCAAACTGAAGTGAACTGAGCAAGGCAAGGAGAGGAGTCATGAGAAACTGCACAGAGAAATTAGGTATTTCATATGTCCTAGGGAATGAGTCTGAAACACTGTATTTAAAACGGTATGTGACATCGCTACCGACCGACATCAGTGTCATATTGTAATTCCTCCGGCTAGCGTGCTTGAAGATGTGTGCGCGTGCTCTACGCGCCGACCACAGTGACCCACCCCTTCCTTTTGGAAGTGCATCCGAATTTGTGTATATTAGGTGCCTGACAGCAACTATTTTCGATTCACTGTACGCTGTACGACTATGATGATTTGCAAATGATAACTGCATTCTGCTTTTCGCTTCCTGTAGATGATGTTCCACTTAACGAATATGGTTCTCTAGTCCAGCGATCCCTGACCAACGCTGAAAAACTCGCCAAATCAAAGCGCGTTGATAAAGAGGTGGAGAAAATGATGCAGAGTACTTCTTCCGGGTCGGGCCATACAACACAATCGTCCACCTCAACATCGCAGCCCTCGGTCACAACCGCTTTAGCTGCTTGTGCTGCCCGGCGCAAAAAAGCAAGTAAGTCTAAATTTTTTCAAATTTAGGTGTTACTAATGTGCACCTTTTCCTTCTGTTTTCCACCCCTCAGATCTTATACATATGCATATATATGTAATACAACAAATGGTATATGAATGATTCCAAAAATTCCTCGGCAGTATTTTGTCACTTCATTCATGTACCCAGGAAATGGATTTGGGTCTCAATAACCTCATTTCCTATCCGAAACAATTTACGTGGTGCTTCATTTGAGTTGATTGCCACAAATTTGGTTGACGGTATCATAGTGATTAGAAAGTACTAATATACATTTATAGCCGTTATGTCCCGCCCAAACTATTTCCAGCGAAGACCTATTCGTTTCTTGTATTCTGTCGCCCAGAAGCTGAACCATCGGGTTTACTTTTACTGATGGAACTTACCTAGAAATCTGAAACAAGCCTTTCCCGAGATTAATTTCGAAAGAAAAGACCATATGGCAATACTGCACGATTTATGTCCAGGACGATTTCGCTACATCTCAACATGGCGCATACCGCAGAAAATACAGTGTTTATATAGGGCTTTAGCGTAGCAACAAACTAAAGCAAAATACATTAAAAACAGACAAAACATAAAATAGGGAGAGGTAAAAGGACCAATATCGCCAGGTTAGGGAGAGACTAAAATAAAGTTACCTAGAAATGTTTAATTTACTCTGTCCCGTCTGATGCGATATTTGGATCAATTTTTCGCGCGTCGTTAACTGTCACAATTTAAGTCAAGTCAAGAAAGTTNAAGAAAGTTAATCCGTTTACGCACCTCAGTCGCTAAATATTCAGAAACCGTATCACCATGCTATGAATAAATAATCATAAATGTCTTACTTCATTTTTATCTATTGAATATAGAAGTGCACAGTCAAGTTTCAGATAGGACACCTGGGATACATGAACTACCCGGAGTAATACAGAATTAGGGAAGGTGGGCGGCGGTGGTGCGGTTCGAACTCAGGAGCTCCGAGTTGTTGTTTTGATAACCTTAACCTTTTGACCACCGCCGCCGATTATGAACCAAAGAGGAAGAGAGACAGCAAGAAAGTCTACAACTTCATCCTAACATTTAAAATCTGTTTAGCACGACATAATTCTAAGATCATTCGCTAGCGCTTCTGAGCTAGTAAGTACTCTAGCGAAATAAGGTACAAGAGAAATTTGCTAATCCTCAACGTGTTCAAGTATGTGTTCATAGCCAGGAAGGGAGCATAAAGACAATAAATAAGGTCAACGTATAGAGGATGAGGATAGTCCGGCAAAATCTTTTCCAGTCTTGTGCTGCAATGTATTGTCTAAGTTGTTCGCAGGTATACAGCCGCATAGCGAAAGGTATCTGGGGCTGAATTTAAGATACTTATTAACTAGACCAGGTAACCCGTAAAGTCAGATTTTCAAAACTCAGGCCAAAGCAAAATGCTTTATGAGGTCGATAGGAATAAAATTTGCTTCAAGCGCAAAAAAATGAGCAACCAAACGCTTTTGGCGGTTGGATTTTAGGTTCCGATGTTGAGAGCGATCCACCATTTCCGTAATTTTAGATTGTACACTAACTTGAGATGTTAAGCTGTCGTATGGCATCACATTGTTCCGATAATCGCATGAGAGCACCGAAGGACTTGTTTCGTTTATACGGCGAATTTTGTCGTATACAAATCCAACAGAGCGTGGAGCGAAAAGTTATCTGTTTCCACTTGATTGGGTCTAACAGTAGTGCGAATTCATTACCGTATTTAATCAAAACGAAGAATTGATTTCAGGCATGGAAGATATGCAAGCAGTCTGGCGAAGATGCCCGACCTTTGCAACATGTAAACGGTTGTCGGTCGGTAAAATACTACGTTGGTAGTTCAATCATGGAAGGTGGAAACACTGCCAGGAAAAAGATCGCTGAGTAATAGTCCCCTGTCAGTCTTGTGGAATGCATCAGTGTGGTGGAAAAAACATGTGGAAAACCCTGCTTTTCTTATCTGGGAAGGATAAAATGAAGTGTGAGAACTAAGCAAAGACATTAAGACTACCCCATAATTGGGCATAAACTAACTATAGCAGGTCATCACCACCTAATCGGGTGGGTGTGGTCTTAAGCGGGAGTTTCTCGAACACCCTAAAATCAATCGAATTGCCTTAATTCAGACGAAATTTCCAATACATTTTGTTTGTTATTGGGGCGATCAAAGCTATTCCACAAGAGTTGAGGACGCTTGCAGTGACAGATATTGACTAAAAAGTCCCCTAGATACCGAGAACAAAACGGTAGCGCCAACGTCAAGCAGAGGAAACTCCATCAGTTCATAACGAATGTTCGCATGAGCAATGCAAGCATCCAGGCTGACCAGCTTCATATTAACTTCAATTAGTTTAACTGGTACTGAAATCCCAGGGCTGGTGAAAGTGTGATTTGATATCTCAGTACCCACAGCAGCGAAGCGATGGGTGAATACGATGCCTGAAATCCTCATAAAAACCCGCCAAGACTCACTACCTTTTTTTCAAGTAGAGCACCGATGTACATGCTACTCTGCTCTATGGGTGAGTAGACAGCGAGCTGTGCAGTGCACTCAAGCACTATGAGTGTCGTGAACAGTAGCGCTCGTACATATTCTCTATTTCTTTGCAACCTTAGTCCCCATGAGTTCTCCATCTTCACTGTGACACTGACTGGAACATTCCAGTATTCCCTCTACTCCAACTAAATGGTCAATCGTGAAACTGCAACCAAAAAGGACGCACAAAAGTGCATGGTTTTCGGCTATAAGAATAGAAGTTACCTGACATTTGACAGCATCTTACTTTTTCCTACGTAGGTGTTTGAGGTGTCGTACGGAGAAACAGTCGGGTCAGATACAGCAAGTATAAAAATATTTAAAAAGTACGTTAATTCATAACGGAAAACAACCGGGTTTGAATGTGAAAACATACTGATCAGAGTGATTGATCCTGTTTCACAGATTCACGATGTTCGCTTGAATGCGGTAGGTAATTCAAACTTTGTAGTCACAGAATCCAGTAGATGGGTGATGATTAGTTTTGCTGAAAATAATGAGGAAACATTTCAAGAGACAGTCAGCAAAGTGGCGAAGAATAAACCATGGATACCGCTACATCAGCTTCTTCGATAATCAAAAACGGTCACTTTCTAGAAGGCCTGAGTGAAAATCTTGGTATCACTCTTTAGGTCCCATAGGCAGTTAAAAGCAACAAGTGATCACCATAGTTTGTGGGATAACAATTTTGGTGCACAAATAAACCTGCATATGCGCTTTAGTTGAATCAATAACAATTTGGAGTCACTATGAGAGAATGTTGAATAATGATGGTACAGTTAGTAACAATAGTGAGGCAACTCCAAAGTGATAACTGGATAAGCGGAACTGATACTCGGGAACATAAAACGGTATGCAAGGTTGCTGACACTTAATGCAAAAAGTGCTGTGGCTATACTTGCTGTTCTAGTTTCAAACGTTTGTTAGAAGCTGGCTTTTCAGACTGCAACAACCAAACAGCTGTTTTAAACATTTCGTCGTTTCATATTGTATAGTGTGATTTACATGATTTCTAGACTATCAAGCTTGGGTTACCCCGTTCGAGTGTTGAGAGGCACCAGACACTCTTGATGGTCTTCGGTGTGGGTTTCACTCCTTGGGACATCGTTAATTCCCAACTTATTGAATGCATTCAAATGCGATGGAAATGTTTGTGATGATCGACAAAGAGCACTGGACAGCTGTTTCGTCCTGTTTGGGACTCGTCAGCTGTGCGTGCTTTTTGTGTCCTTGTCAGGACTGGAACTACGAACTTTCGGGTTGGGACTTCAAACCCTATCCCTGAGCTACAACGTCGACGGTTATCACCTTGTGCGAATGACTGACTCAATTTTAGAATATCAAACTTTGATTAACCCATTCGATAGTTCAGAGGCGCCAGACATCCGACGCCGACGCCAAATTACGGGGAACAGTACATCCTGAAGATTCTGAAACCGTACAGGAAACTCTCGACGCAGCTTACCTATGACCCTTCACTAACGACATTAAATCCAATGTTGAGAAATGCAAGGTTGTTTCATTGCGTCACGGCGGTTCCTTCCTATACGTATTTGGAAATCAGCCATCACCACGTGATCCAAATGAAAAGCATCTAGAAGTTATTGTTCGGGAGGTTCGAGGAGGTCCGATACATTGCGCTAGAGCGTCGAAAAATCCTTAAGGCAAGTTGGATTACTAAAACGTGTTTTTGGTGATTCGAGGCCCTCCTCTCTCGGGAACCAATATCATCAAGAATATCCGTAGCGCACTTCAAAGGTAATGCTGCCAGCCTCACCGTGGTAGCAGTCTACGCCTCCACTCTACCGTCCGACAGCGTAGTGAAGGATGAGTTTTACGAGTCTTCAGGAGTTAGAAAATCGCGTCCCCAAGAGAGATGTACTTATCGTGGCGGGAGACGAATTCTCGAAACATATAATTGAAAAATTTGGACCAGGCCATCGCCGCGAAAACGGTGAGAGGCTTATTTACTTATCCCACTTTTACCGGCTGTTTATAACCAACACACGTTTCCAGCTCCCCAGGAAGCATCTTCTTACCTGGTACTCCAACGACGGCAAAACAGCCCAACAAATCGACTGCATCTTGATACGATCACGCTGTATCTCATCAGTAAAAGATTGTAGTTCGTATCGCGGTGCCGAAAGCTGGTAACAGATGGCTCTGATCACATACTGGTTCGTGCGAAACTTCTTCGGCTGACTCGTTAAGCCCATCCCTCCAAATCGTATCAACGTGGGTTTATTAGACTGTAACCAGCAATCAAAAACACTAGCAAATGAGTCTGCCCCACTCCACTGATGTGCAGTGGTCTAGAATAAAAGCTACACTAAACAAACTTAGTACCATGAAACGCTGCTACCAAGATTGGATATCAGAAGAAACCATCCATCTCTCAACCCTGGCCAGGGGCGTCCGTCTAGCTGGTCTACGCGATTAACAGCGACTCAGATGCGAAGTAACCCGCTCCGTAAAAACAGAGCGGTGCAATTACTGGAGCGAAGTAGCGTTCAAGATGAAAACCGCAGCCAATGCATGCCACTTCGGAGACCTCTTTCGTCTCGTACGATCAGCATCTGGTAGAAGACAATCTTTGCAGCCCGATCTGTACGACTCCACCGGGGGACTGATCCCTAATATCGACGGTAGAATGACCAGATGGGTAGAACATTTTGGTCGACTTTTCAGTCATCCGCTGGGCAACCCGGCGGATATTCATCTCTATTTGGTGTCCCCGTACGAGGTCGACTGTGATCCTCCAACGGAAGAGGAAATAGCCGCAGTGCTCGGTCCCTTGAAGTCTGACAAGGCCACCTGGTGAAGAAGGAATCCTGGCAGAAATATATAAGAAATGCCCTCCGATGCTCATCAAGCCGCTTCACTCTCTCTTTCGCTCTGTTTGAGAGACCGAAACATGTTCAACTGATTTGAACACCTCGGTTTTTCTTCCGTTCTCCAAGAAGGGCAACGAGACACCATGCAAGAATTATCGCGGCATCAGTCTGCCAGACATGGCTGCAAAATCGTTTGCCCAGCTCGTGCTTAATCGTTT